GTGAGCTCGCTCATTGCTGCTTTCCTGGCTCCGTTCTCTCTGGCCTCGACCCCCTCCACGGGCCCACCCCCGGGCTCACCTGGTCACTTTCAATGACAGAACGTGCCCACTCGTGGGCCTTGTACAGTTCATGCCGACGGTCTGGCTTCTCCTGGAACCGAGGCTCCTTTTTGGCAGGATCATCATCCCCGAAACAGGGAGACTGTGCTTTGGGGACAAGTTTTACATCATCAACAAAGATGAAAGGCTTGAATACGGACCTGGAGAGAAAGGAGAGGTGCTTCAGCCAGGCTGGGGCTCCAGGAAACCCAGAAGCGGTGCTTTCACTTGGCAAACCTTTCCTGAGCCAACCCATGGTGGGTGGTAGGTTGTGGGTGGTGGGTGGGTGCATGTCAAGAGAGAGACAACTGCATATTTTAGTAAATGTTTTCGTGAAACTGCCACTTCCCAAGCTGCAATTTCTCCGCTTTACAGGGAGGAGACATCTAGACAGACCTGCTCTGTTCTGGGAAGACCATTCGAGGCCCCTTTCAGCCATGTAAGGTAAGGCAAGTAGAAAGCGCCGTGGTCCTCTCTCTAAGTTGAAAGAGGCAGCCTTTCTCTAGCGCGGTTTGCTGGAAAGTGGCCTCCTGGAAAGGAAGGCTCTGAGACCCCATCTCGCGCTCTCTTTTATTTTAGGCTCTACCTCATTTGGAAATTTTAAAAATATCTCTGACAGACTCAGGGAAGGGACCGATTAAGACAGATGACAAAAAAGGACCCCAGAGAGGACACACCACAGAGAAACAGAAGTCTGGCTCTGTGAGAAGGCGGGTAGCTGTGGGCACAGTAGGTGGTCAATGCAAACACTCTGATTCAGCTCTTTTGGCACAATGGATGTATCTTAGGGAAAATGGACCTGTGTGTGTGTGTGTGTGTGTGTGTGTGTGTGTGTGTATACCTGCGCATACCTGGGCATACGTCACTAGTTAAAGTACATCAGACACCAGTTCTAGGAAGTTTCCTAGAACCTCCTCCCTATTTTCTGTTTCCTGGGCCGAAGTACACAGCCTAATACAAATGGGTTGAGAAATAGCCATCTACTATTTAAAATGGAAAATGTTTAAATTCTCTCCCCCTCTTGGTTTATCCACCCTGTATATTGAGTATTTGTGTGTGTCTCCCAGATGTGGGGACCTCCAGTGGTGTGCTGGTTTGACAACTATATCTTGTTGTCAAAGGGGAGGGAAATAAGCCCTAGTTAATGGTGTCTGCCAATTTCTGTGGTGTAAATACACCCACTGTGGCCCATTTCAAGCTACTGACGTAACATCACTGAACACAGAGTCGGGAAGTACTCATGTAATCGGTTCTCGCTGGCTCCAGTTCACTGCAGAACTCCGAATTTTACAGTCTCACAATGCGAGGATACCTCTCCACCCTTTCCCTCTGTGAATCTTCACGTCAGCGGAGCTTTAACAAATAGTGGCCTACAACTGCGAAACTGTTTCCAAAGGACAGAACCAGTGCACAAAAGCCAACCAGTGTCACTATATGGATGACTGAGGCACCAGCTGACACAACAGAGTATTGATAAGATGGAATTTGCCTTTTAGAGGAATTAAAGGTCTTTTGTATCTCCCTCTAGCTTGCACTCCGACTTCTGCACCTCCTTCCAACTCTCAGCCTTACATAGTACCTGGTATTTGCTAGGAGGCAGGAGAGGAAAAGAAGGGAGGGAAGGAGAGAGAAGAGAATTCGAGAACAAGTTGTTGGAGAACAGGATCCACAACTGATACAGTGAGCAAAGGGCAGAGAAGGGCGGCAGCAGACAGAACAATAGTCAGCCCGTGTCCTGCGGTTTCTCACACCACCTGGGAGGGATGAGTCAGGCAGCCCTGCTCTTTGATCATAATCTTCCTGCCCCAACTCACCTCCCTAACGNGATGAGTCAGGCAGCCCTGCTCTTTGATCATAATCTTCCTGCCCCAACTCTCCCTAACANCGTGTCCTGCGGTTTCTCACACCACCTGGGAGGGATGAGTCAGGCAGCCCTGCTCTTTGATCATAATCTTCCTGCCCCAACTCACCTCCCTAACGCTCTCACTGTTAACAGGAACCAGTAAAATGTCCCTCCTGTTACTACCTAAAACCCAGGAGTGGGTAATTATGCTCCCTGCTGACAAAATACAAAACGTTGAACATGCCCAATTACAGAGAAATATTGAAATGTTGAATAAGAAAGAAAACCTATGACAGTTCCACAGTCACTGTCGGAAATGCAGCTCATTTGACCACGGGAGATAAAAATGAATGCCTTCCGGAAGGCTCCTCATCTTCCTTCAGGTCTTTTTAATTAATTTGACCCATGAATAATTTGATTTTAATGTTACTTGAAATTTCCCATTTGCAATATATGAAGGTTATACCCTAGCCCACTTCTCTAACTGTGTTAGGCCGTGCACTTCAGCCCAGGAAACAGAATTCCTTTATTTTACTGCCCTGGTGTCACCAAGGCCTGTCTTCTAAGCACTGTCAGAGCAGGCGTCTGACACAAGGGAGGGGGGGAGGTACAATCATTCTTTAGTTCAACCCACCTCTCTGAAGGCTCCTACTCCCTACAGAGCAATATTGGTCCAAGACCTCACTCGGCAAAGCCTTCCAGGCGCTTCCAGTGCCTGCACATACCCCTGAAGGCCAGCAGGGAGCGCTCACAAGAGGCTGTTGAGTCACCAGCATTGGGAGACAAGCTTTCATGCCTCTATGCTTTTGCACATGCTGTTCCCTCTACCCAGAATGTCCTTCCTGCTTTTTGTCCCTAACAAACTCCTACTCTTCCGTCAATGCCCAGCGCTCAAGAGTCCCTCTCTCTGTGAAGTGTTCCTCTTCGTCGTCTCCTTTATGCCACCTCTTCCCTTGTACACACTTGGTCTCTAGTACCCAAAAATCACACTATGTGGTACACAGTAGATGCTTAATAAGTGCTTGTTGAATAAATAAATGAGTGAATGAAAAACTAAGAATAGCTTATCCAGAACTTAATAGTCAGGTCCTGCTAGAAGTATCTATTGATATTGGCAGTAGTTTAAAACATGAGGCCCATACCTGAAACTAATACAAAATAATGTTGAATGTAAACTGTAATTGAAAAATACAAATGAGGCCCAACAAGCAGGTAAAATTAGAGACCAGCATTATCCCCATTGTACAGTATAGAGACGGAAGCCTAGAGGTATTAAGTAACTTGTCCAGCTACTAACCGACTGAGGTGGAATTCAGAATCCTGGCGGTTTACTCCAGAAGCTATGCTCTTAACCTCTTTGCTGAAGTTCCTGGGCAGAAAGCAACCCCTTAAAATACAATGTCTGAAAGTATTAGCCAGGGCACTTGAAGTTGCTCCCATCCGCCTCGCCTCCAGGCCATTTTGCCCTCTAACTCATGGGAATTGGTTGTTTTGACAAGTCTTGGGCAGTCCTGTAATCGCTGCCTCAATGTGTCTTGTTTAGCTTTGCATCCCCCACATACAGCACAATGCCTGGCCCGTGATACACACTCGATACGTATTTGCTTAATTTAAAACAACTGGATCCCATGATCTTGATGAATGCTGTGTGACTAAAGCTAAGGACATCTTTTAATGGAAGCTCTCTGTGCTGCAAGGCCACACTGAGAAAGACTAAACAGTGTGACTCGGCTATGCAACAAAAGGCGGTGCGGGAATTTGGTGCACACTTGCTGGACAAGCTTTGGAGGGAGGCACAGGCTTTCTGCTTACGTGACTGTGTTCAGACGAACCTGGAGGGATCTGGGGTCCCAGTGAAGTAGTGGATGCACGGTGAGCTGCTGCTCTGAGGCAGGACAGACACTACACTGGCTGTGGTGAGGAAAGACTCGGAGTCTATACAGACGCCACTGGCTTTGTCCCGTAAGATGTCAATCATAGTCTGCACAGTGATGCTTTCTGAAGAGAGGGAGGAAGAGGGAGACGGACAGGGACAGGGAGAAGAGAGATTTAACTGTGGCAGGTTGCTAACCAAAATCCATTCACTCCTTTACCTTTTTCATAACAGAACCCCTAAATTATAGCTGGGAACATAACTGCCTAACTACAGACTGTATTTCCCAGCTTCCCTGTGGCTAGGTGTGGCCTTGGAATAAATCCTGACCAGTGTGTAACATCCTGTCCAGAATATATTTATTAAGTTCTACAGAAAAGTCTTTAAATGTTCTTCTAGATTAAGGGTCAGAAAACTTTTTCTTAAAGAGCCAGATAAATATTTTAGACCTATGGGCCATGCAATCTCTGTTGTAACTTACCTGTTGCAACCGCTCACCTCTGCCCCTGCAGCACAGAAGCAGCCACAAACAAACAGGTGTGGCTCTGTCACAATAAAATTTTAGTTACAAAACAGGTGGCTGACGACAGGTCATAGTGTGCTGGCTGGTATTCTAAATGATCAAAGGTTTGACTAAACAAAACACATGTATCACTAGCAGATATAAAATGTGGCCGTTGAGATTTATTTGGAAGGGTTTCCGCTTGGGCACAAAAGTAACAAGCTGGATCCAATCACCATATTTACCTAAATATGGGTTCTGACTAAGTTGATAATTGGGTGGAAGACAGAGGGCTCATGAAGAAAATTCAACAGTTAACTTAATAAATGTTCATGGAACAAAGGACTATAACAGGTGTCACAAGGGGATCCTAAGATGAGTAAAAGACAATGCTCCCAAAAGACAGGCTAATGGGAAGATTAAATTAGGGAGAAGATCATTGAAATATACAAACGCTGAGGTATAAGGAAGGCTGCAATAAGCATCACAATGACATTAGTGTTTAAAGAAGAAATAGCAGCAGCAAACTTCCATGGATAAGAAAGCATCCTGTAAGAATAAATGCAACATCTCATCTTGCCTGAACATCAGGGACTTTAACACAAGTCAGTCTCTATATACAAGGTCTATTCTCTACTCCTCCATGCTCACCCTCCTAAGTTGAGTTCTCTAAAATAGCCACAAGACAAAGGGTGTGAGAGGGAGAGTCGTAAGGGATGTAATGGCTCACCTTCTTGCTTTTCTAAGCTGTCTTTGCCTGCACAGCAGTGTAGCTGGTCCTCAGCTGGAGAAAAAACTTCGGAGAAATTGAACTCCTCCTCTCCCGTCCACCAGCCTTGACTCTGAGCGTAACTCCTGAGCTCAGGATGCTCTGCGTCAATCTTAGTGGTGAGTGAAAGCTGATTGCAAATGCACCTGACGCCCTCTGCAGAGTACAAAGCGCAGTTAGTTGGAAATACACTAACAAAGACTTAATCAAGAAAAGGAAATTTACAGGGAATCTCTCTCCTGAAACGTGACTAACTACAGGGATGAAACAAATTCCATGTTTGAAGAGAGAAACAGCCAATCCTTGGCCCTCTTCTGAGAAGATCTCCCAGAAGGTCTGACCAATCCCGACCAGCGTCATCACGTTGTAAACGAGCAACGGTCACTTGATCTTAAATAAAAATAATAAATAAAAATTAAAAATAGCTTTGGCCTAAATACTTGATTCTGACTTATTTACACTAAGATTTTTTTAAGACTTGTGAATAATTCTACACATGTTATTTTTCTAGAGGGCTGATTTATAATAGTCATTTGCTTTCAAAAATTTTAGCATTCGGGGGCCAGAGTTCATTAAATCCTACTGCAATCACACTACTGCAATCAGGAGACATGAAATCAATGAGTCCAAGGAATGGTTGGGGTATTTTCAATTTAAATAGTGAAAGACAACATTCATTTTGACAAGATGGATTTTTAAGCTGTATTTTGAAGTGAGACTAAGCTAAAATGCAATAGATCAAAAAGTTTTACATTGTACTTAAAAGCAATATGGTTGCTTTTCAGCATGAACCAATAGTCTCCTTGATGGACCATTCAATAGTAAGACTTTATTTTAGGAGAATTTTTCTTAAGGGAGTTTTAAGTTCCAGCATCGCAGGAGGCTTGGAGACCTGTTGGGCCACACCAGCTACATTAGTTCTGTAGCTACTATAGAAGTAGGGCAGGCAGGCACACCTGGGTATATGTGGGGCAGATGTGGGTGGAGAAACGCTCTGAGATTGCTTCAAGGTGCCATTCTGTACCCTTGTGAGAATGAGAAGCCGCCCCCTCCTCCAGGGAGACAGACTTTGCACAGCTTAGTCAAGAAACCACAGCCAGATCTCACTGCCTGGGTGGAGCAACCTTTTCTAGGATACAACATGCCCATTGTCCACAGCAACCCTGATCGCTGGACTGACTTAGGCCACAGAAAACAACAGCCTTGATTCCCAGCTATTGCAACAGATCTTCTGCTTCTAACTCAGCTCAGATTTGGTTCCAGTCACCCCTCAGACAGATGGCAAACAGGTTTCAGCCCTGACATTATTTCTAAAGAACTGGAAGAAGCTTCCTGGTAAATTCAGTTGCAAAAAATATATAGGCCAAGTTTCAGTTCAACAAGAGAAGAGTTCTGTGATCTACTAGCCATGTCTGCCATGGGCATGGGAGTGGAGAGCTGCGTGAACGTGCCATGTATTTGTCATCCAGGCCTAAGGAATATAAGAGGGGCTTCGCTATCCAATTCTTAGAACTCTTTAGTCCTCCTGGAAGCCCTTGGGCCCACTCTGGGATTCCATCCTGTCCAGAGTATGAGGGTGCTGAGGCGATGATACAAGACAGCCACTCCCATCCCTAACATTTCCTTCCTCAGAACTGTCTTAGAACAAGATGCTGCAGGAAGCACAGAGCAGAAATTTATTGGGCAGCAAATCCCTCTAGGTAAATTCCCTAGCCTCTGCTGGTCTAGAAACATTGTCTCCCAGTGACATGGGCTTATTGGTGCAGAAGAACTCAACGGTCCTACAAATCCAAATTCCTCCTTTAGAGGAACAATCCAAGCACAAAGAGCTCCAGGGCTGGGGTGATCAGGGGCAACTCCCTGTTGCAGTAATCCATTGACCTATCATAAATGGAATGGAAAAAATCACCATCCCCTTGGCCAATTAACAGAGTAACACTTTTGGATCATGAAACTGCTGGTAGTCTAAAATGGGTCCTGCCCAGAAAGCAAACAGAAAATAGGAAATGTCAGAAGTATGCTTCCCAAGTGTGGACATCCCTTCCCTCTGGGTTCAGAAGACTCCAGCTCCCTCTCTAGAAGCAGCAGCCCAGAGATGAGAGGCAGCACAGAGACAGTCTGCAGCAGCAGCAGGCAACATCTATCCCGGCCTTTTCTGCCCACGAAGCTCTTCGCCATCCACACCCACTCACCTGTGATTTTCTCAGCAGCCCAGTACTTCCCTACGGTCTCCAGCACCCAGGCCTCCTCACGGTCCACAATCAGATAAGCACTCTGGAAGCTGTGGCAGGAGCCTGCATCTTCATAATAATTCCCACCTTGTCCATGTTCTTCCAACAAGGCAATGATGACATCAAAGGCTTCTTTAGCCGTTGACCCTCTTTCTAAACCAAGCCTGAAGTAAGATAACCAGAGGTATACCTCATTCATTTCCTGCCATGTTAGTATTACCATAGTAACCAAAGATTGGGAGGAGGCTGAGTTTTGAAGTGTGGGGGTGTTTTCTGTCTTTGGGCATCCCCAGCCCACATACACAGAAGAGTCAGGACCCCAGTGGCTCAGCCACCTCCCTTGTTCTTTTCTAGCTCTGTCTCCCATGGACCTGGCCAGCTCCCCTCTAGCTCTTAGCAAGACCCCTTTTGTTGGCGTATCCACCCTCTTGCCTCTACCCTCCCACCTCTGGGCAAAAGGAAATCTCTGCCGAGTCCAGCCTTGCTCGCTGCTGTTCTACATCAGGTTGGTTGGTCGGTCATCAAAGTGTCCCACAGCCAGCCGTCGTCTTGGGTGCGTACAGCCGGCTCGGAGATCTCGGCAGGAAGGGGCTGCTGCTCAGCACGCCAGCAATCCTTTCCTACGGTTTTCTGCCTTTCAGCCTGCCCATGAGCCTATCTCTACTGGGTGGCTTACAGCGTCAGCTATCAAAAAGTATTTCTTCTGAAGTGACACAGCGATCTCCTCCCGGCACTTCCAATTAATAGACCCCTTCAAGAGGGCACAGCTCTTGCCCTCCGTGTGACCTTGGGCAGGTTACATAATATATTTGAACTTCAGTTTTGTGTCACCTATAAAATAAGCGCCTATATCATTGGGTCGATAGGAGGATGGGTTTTATGAGATGATGAACATGAAAATATATAGCACAGGTGCCCAAGATCAAACAAGTGATCAGTAAGTTTGGAGAAGCAGCACACTGTGGCCGAAAAACAAATGACTGAGAGATAAAGGAACCCTGCTCCCCGGGCAATGACTAATCTGCTATTTCCATGAGTTTGCCTTTTCTAGGTATTTCATAGAAATGGAATCATACAGGATGTGACATTTTGTGTCTGGCTTCTCTCGCTTAGCATAATGTTTTTGAGATTCGACATGCTGTAGCATGTATCAATATCTGTTTATTTTTTATTACTGAATAATCACTGTAATCTATTCTTTGTTTTCCCATCACCTCAAAGTTTATATCAAATGGCACATATCTTCTTGGGGAGCATTGTGTTATAAAATATGAGGTTTGGAGGGAGATAAATCCTGTGTCCATCCCCCACTCATCCTGGGCAGTTGTTTCAAAGAATCACCAGTACCTGACCAGATCCATGCCCAGCAAGGCTTCCGTCTCAGCCGCCGGTTCTCTGGCATTGACGGCCTCGTTGGCGATGCACACTCCGTGTTCATTGGCTCCCATTTCTGCCCCCCAAAGCCAGGCAGGTCTGCTTATCACAATGGCGTGGGTCTTGGGAACTTGGTCGATTGAAATGTAAGTGCACTAAAAAATGAAGACAGGAAAGAAGGGGCCATCGCCTGTCAGGTACCACTCAGTTCTCACCTTGGTACTTACACTGAACCACCACATCAGTTACAAACAGACCAAATAAATAAGTAAATAAAAGGCCTTGGGAATACTGGACTTAAAAGACACCCCAAATCTCAGTGCGGCTGACAGGTCTCCACGGTGTCTTTGTCTTGCCAGTTACTCAGTTCTTAGTCTCTTTGGCTCCAACCAGCCTGTCCATGATGCTGATGTCTATGGCGGTCATCTTCCTGAACCAGGATTCAGCCCATCTGAATATTCTGTGGCTAATCATTTCAATAGACACAGATGAATGCCAGCATTTCAAACAGACATAGCTATTTACTCTCAGTTGCAAAAACCCATCTCTATCAGAGGTTTTCAGACATTGTTAACAGTATAGAGCCCTATCTGTAAAAGAAACTTTACCTAGAAGCCTGACGTAGAAAAAAGAAGATGCTTTGTCTGAAGACGGGAGGTCCCTAAGCCTCCAGCAATGATTGCTAGGGTTCCCTGGAGCACAGTTTGACAACCTACAAGACTGCTGTAGTGGTAGAAATGAGAAAATGACAATACCTTACATTTAACTAACGCATTAAGCGCACACTCTCTTGTACACTGTGCTTCCCTGTCTGTCCCAGTTGATCCCCACACTCAGCCCCTGAGGTGGGTACATACGGGAACAGTCCCAAAGAGGTGGGTTTCTAACTGCTACGAGAACCACAGTCATGCCACGTGGAGCTGTGGTCTCACCTCCCCCAGGTACTGTGTCTTTACCTGGAAAATGAATGAGCCGATCGAGATCAAACTAGTTCTTTCCAAGTGTCTTTAGCCTCAGAGCCCTTCCTTCACACAAACCCTTACATGGAAGAGTGAAGACTACAGAACCGGCCGAAGTGCATTGAGGCGCCAATGGAAGAACAGGCGTGGGCCTGGGGTCGGGTACCTCAGAGCCTTCCCTGCTGGCTCCCCCCCCCCACTTTGGGCCCACGGGAGAACTCGGCTGGATAACTAAGCCAGGTCACCCAGAAGGGGCCTCCTGTCTGACATTCCATCAGTCTGCCATGCGCCCTGTGTGTGGCGAATGCACTATGGAAGTCAGGGCTCTAAATCACACGGAGCGCTTCAGCTCTCAAGGGACAACTGTATCAGCTACAGCAGCCATTTACATTTTAAATGAGGAAGCTGAAAGCATTGGATCAACTGCAGCCTTAGATCTTTTTTTGTCTCAAGACCCAATTATATCAGCTGAATGCAGCCCAGGAAGTTCCACCGCATTGATTTTCCATAATCTCTAACCCACAAGTAACAGCCGAAATGCACACTCATTGGTCACGTGGCATCTGCATCTTCGCCATCCATGGTGGATGTGGCTGTGCGCTGGGATAATGTTATTTCACCTGACGAATATTTGTCAACTGAAAGCTAATGAAAGCCGGAGGTTGTCAGGACAACATGGAGTTTTTCATGGTGAATTGATACTAAAATATACCCTTGAAGTGCTTTCCCTCATTCGGTTGCCAAAAGTCATTTACTTTACGAAATGATTCTTTTAGAGCAAAACCTGACCAAAGCAGTAAACAACTAAGCCAGGGTCCTCTGTGTTCGTCTACATGTAACTGGAGTTTATATCTTAAACTTGCACTCTTTTATGTAAAAAGGAGTCCAGGCTTTGCCCAACAGTCTTCAAAAGCCCTGTGTGCACTGAGCTCCAGTGACAAATTCTGTCTTGAAAAGAATAAGTCGGAAGGAATCTCAGATTCTTAAGCACAGGTTTATCATGATTTTTTACAGGCAAGAAAAAAGTGAAAATAGGAAACGGGTTTACTTATTTGCCCTCAAATTCATTTTTACACATTCATTTCCATTTCACCAATTACTTATAGAGTGTCAACCACACACAAAGCATTTTGTGCTAAGTGCTGCTGGCAGATAAATCAATGAGATGTCCAACCCCATCCTTCTGGTTGGGAAAAATGGAGAAGGCACAGCAGAAATTGCTATGACCCCCAGGCCAGCCTCAGTAAGTGTCACTGAGACCTGTCTACTTAAAATGCACTGCATCCTGCCCCTCCATCCCCTTACACTTCTGACCAACCCACCCCTGCTCTGCTTTCTCTCATCCATTACGTTTATCCCAAAACAACATCTGATTGACTCGGGAATCGCACGTGCTGTTCGTGTGTGCTCCCGCCACAGGGGCAGGGAGGCGTCTCTGCTGTTCAGCTCACTGATCTAGCCCAAGCCTGGTACATACAAGGCATCGATAAACCTTTTCTTGAATGGATGAATGAATGAGTGAGTGAGAGTGAGTGAATGAGTGAATGAGTAACAAAGGTCAAGGGAGCATAATAGAGATTTAAAGGGAAGAGGGAACACATCCAAGTGGTCAGAGGCTTTACAAGTGGGTGACATTTGAGTCGGTCTGGAATAAAGGGCAGGACACAGGTGGATAATGGGGGATGTCACAGGTGTGTTCCTGGTGCAGGGAAGTCCCCACCGTACCACTTAGGAGAACTACTGTGATGCCACTGAGTCGCAGGACTGCAGCAGTTCAGTAAGTAATGACTAACAAAACTGTTGACAATTGAATCAGAAAGACCATATGGTCTTTGTCGGAGTGAAAAATATATGCAGCCAACTTGACACTTTTCAGGCCAAACTCATAATGAGGAGGGAGGAAGGAGATCCCCAAGCAGCCAGATGGGCCAGCTCAGTCTCTCCTAAGCAGTGGGCGGAAAGCCGAGGCCCAGGATCCCCCTCATGGGCTACAGAGGGGGGGTGCGGAGGAGGCATGTGCGTGCACCCAGGCCTTGGTGAGCCCGAACACCCGCCCCTCGGGGCATCTTTGTCATGAACCGCAGAAGCCCGGGCCTGACACGGGCCCCTCTGTGGCTGCAGCTCATACGCACTCCCCTGTGTTTGAAATCTGGCTAATCGCACCAGGTCTGGGAGGGCTGGGGAGTATGGACAGGCTTGTCTTGCTCAGATGGGTTATTTAAAGCCCCACTTGGGGAGCAAACCTCCAAATAAGGGACATTTGCACAGGACATAATTAACTAAACGTTGTAAGTCAGACACCTAGAGCATGAACACGGCAGGCAGGCAGGCACTTTTCAAACGGCCTTCACATTCGCCACATTACTAACGAGGCAGAGAGTAAGTGGGATTTGAGGTAGCAGAGTCCTCACCAGGAAAAAAAAACACACAAAAAGCACCCGAAATCTTTCAGTGAGGTGAAAACAATTACAGTTTAGTTCCCCTAGTCAAAATTCCTAGCCAAATTTCTTTTTTAAAAATGTTTTTATTGATTTGAGAGAGAGAGAGGAAGGAGAGAGAGAGAAACATCAGTGAGAGAGAAACATTGATCAGCTGCCTCCTGCAGGCCGCCTACTGGGGATTGAGCCCGAAACCCCGGCACATGCACTGACGGGGAATGGAACCAGTGACCTCTTGGTGCCTGAGACGACACTCAACCAACTGAGCCACACCGGCCAGGGCCCAAATTTATATTAGAAAAGGGAAAGAAAACATAAAACACTCACTACTTAAAAGATCAATCTTTAAGGGACGGGTCTGGCATCAGCTTTGGTTATTAAGCTGCGAAAGTGACGAGCAGATTGTCTTGCTCCCCCACATCCACTCCTAACCAGCCTTTAATGAAACAGATCTGTCGGCTAGTGTGACCTCTGGGGACCAGGCCACGGCCACATAGCAACAGGAGAGTGCCCAGAGCGGGGAGCGTGGGGAGGCCGACTTCTAAACCTCAGAACTGCCTGATGGTGGAGGTTTTAAAGGTATCGCCTGAATGGAGCTTGCCACCCCCTCAGGTGGCTCGTGGGGACACGTGCCAGGTCAGAGGGTGAAAAGATGAGCTTTGACCAGGCCCTAGAGTCAAGGACAGGAGACAATTCTTCTGCAGAGCAAGCCCTCTATTACTTTGCGTGATTGTCTCAAAAATGGAAAAGCACCGTCAGCTTCAGGCGGCCGCCTGCCCGAGCACATTCCGGCACATACTATTTCTGGATCTCGCCCGTGAAAGGGGCGATAGAGACGCACACAGCGGGCGTTTGAGTGGGTGAAGCACAGCCTTTGTCCGACCTGCTGGCCTCAGACGGGAGCGCAGCCCGGCTCCGCCAGCGGGAGCCACGGAGGGAGCTGATGAGTCAGCCGGATCCTCAGCGTAGGAAAGGAGAAGGCGGGGCAACGGGCTGTGTTCAGAGAAGTATTTTTAGTTTCAGAAAATCTGCAACTCTCAAGCAGCACTGCTCATCCTCACTGACAGGTTTTGCTTGGTTCGTTGGGTTTTTTAAAAAAAATTGTATCCCAGTGTCTTGTCTGCTACTTGACTGGTTTTGAAAATGTGCCCTTAAGGTTCAGATGAGTCTAAATTAAGACAAAAGATGTCGACTGCATTTTAGAAGAGCTGCTTTTTATTTCCCTGAAGCTGTGAGATCTTCGAGGATGGGCAGTGCAGAGGCCTGGGCTCAGACACTGTGCACTGAATGGAAGCATGGCATGTAATTTTAGAAATAGGAACACTGCACCGGAGGACCCGATCTCTGGTTCTTGCAGTCTCCAGCAAAGTGACCTTGACATACAGTAGATGACAGATGGATGGGCAGACAGGTGGACGGACTGACGGGAGGTTAAAAGGTGGGGAGCTGGACAAGTTGGAAGGGAAGACCGCCTGCCAGGATGGACCAGCTGGGATGGTGGGTGGGTGAGTGGATGAGTCATCAGGATGACTTTCTGCACGTGGTCATTCTCAGAAAATGAGTGTCTGGGACGTCAACACTCAGTATAACATTTCTAGGAAAAGCACAGAATATGCATGTTTAAAATATCACGAGATGGCTGAGGGATAGATGGGTTTCTGTGGGAAGCTCTCACTCCCATAGTGGAAAAAATAACTTCTATATGCCAGTGGGGGCTGTTATGAAAGTAGCATGATAGTTACGGTGGCTCATAGGCCCAAATATGGAAAAGAACCCGTCCTTCGGTCCTTGGAACAAGTGACAGGTATAACTGTGAGGAAATGAAAGGCATGAGCTTCAGTTTGAAAAGCAGATTCAGGAGCATGTGCTAAAGAGGAGTTTGGGAACTGAGACCTAGGGTCACAGAATCTCCCAGTACTAGTCAGTTCTTTAAAACTGATGAAATACGTTATGGAATATCTCCACAATGGACTACTATCGGCTGTAAAAAAAATGATCATTTCTATGTACAGATAGTAAAAAAAAAAACTCTTCAGAAAATATTATTAAACAGAAAAAAGCAAATTATAGGCCTTTTCAATAAGTTTAAACTTCTATATTTAAAAAAATCAAGTTTCAGAATAATGTGTATAATGTGCTACTTTCATAAAAAAAAGAAAAGGCTAAGTATTCACATTTATGTCCACGAATTAATAGAAAGGGCTACATAATGTGGGAATCTGAGTCGACTGGAGTAAGTGGGAGCAAGACTTCTCACTGTAAACCTTTTTGTATCACTTAATCTTTGAACCACATTAATATATTACCTATTCAAAATGTAAAATTACATTAAAAAGTATCTTCACCCAAATGAGTTAAAAATTTATGTCCACAAAAAAAAACAACCCTGCGCACAAATGTTTCTGGCAACTTCATTCCTAACTGCTAACACTTGGACGCAACCAAGATGTCCTTCAACGGGTGAAGAAAAGTACACGATGGTACACCCAGGCGTGGAATATTACTCAGCGCTGAAAAGGAATGCACTGTCGGGCCTGGAAAAGACATGGAAGAACTTTAAACGCAAATCACTAAGTGAAAGATGGCAATCTGAAAAGGCTACATACTGTGTGATTCCAACTCCGTGACATTCCAGAAAAGGCAAAACTATGGAGGCAGTAAAAAGATCAGTGGTTGCCAGGGGTTTGGGGGAGGGAGGGATGACCAGGTGGAGCACAGAGGATTTTTATAGCAGGGAAACTATGCTGGCTGGTACTGTAATTAATGGTGGGTATGTGTCATTACACATTTGTCCAAACCCATGGGATGTACAACACCAAGAGTGAGCCCCAATGTAAACTATGGCAGGTGTTTACTGGCTCATCACTTCCAACAAACGCTCCGCACTGAGGCAGGATGTTCATAAGAGGGGAAGCTGGCAGGTGGGGTGGGGTGGTGAGGGGTTATGTATAGGAATTCTCTGTACTGTCTGTTCATTTTTCTGTAAACCTAAAACTGCTCTAAAAACTAAGTCTATTAATTTGAAAGAGGGAAAAGTGAGCACCCTGTTGGCACACAAATCAGCTGGGACTCTGGTCCTGTAAACACAGCCCAGAACTTTTAAACAAGGCAGTGACAGAGCTGTGTTTTGGGGGAAGGGGGGATTCTGGTGACCCCGCAGGGATAAGACTCCAGGACAATGAGACTGGGGCACCAATAAGCAGATTATAGAAGGGAGACGGGGGTGGGTCTGAATGAGATGGGGCAGTGGGAGGAGATGGGGACACAGGAGAGGAAGCAGCAGGACTCAGTCACAGCTGTCCCTGTGCATCTGGGGGTGAGCGGGGAAACGAGGGTCGATGTTTCCCTTGGGTTTCTAGATTAAACTACGTGGCAAACAACAGAGCTGTTCGAAGAAATGGCGCAAATGAGATGGGAAAAATGAATTTGGTTTCAGGCGCGTGGGGTTATTTTACCTGCAAAGCTAGCTCAAGACACAGGGATGCGACCCAGAAAAGAGGTCAGGGCTGCCTGAGACACTCATTCTGGGGCGTATCAAGCTACACTTATTCATGCAAGGGGACAAACTTCAACCTACAGTGTATGTGAGTAATAACATACTGTGGGCTAGCTAGTGAAAAGAATCTATTTCCTAAAACGACTGTAACCGTGAGATTAAAATATTTATTTAGCCTATGCCCCAAAAAGGAAAACAAATTTTTCTAAAATATTTATTTCAGACGTATTTATACAGTAGCCTCCCCTTATCTGCGGGGGAGATATCTAAGACCCCCAGTGGATGCCTGATAGTACCAAACCCTCTCTATACTATGTTTTTTCCTATACCAACATACCTGTGGGAAAGTTTAATTCATAAATTAGGCACAGTAAGAGATGAACGATAACTAATGGCAAAATAGAACAATTAAAACAATACACTGTAGCCCTGGCCGGCATGTCTAAGCGGTGAGAGCGCCGGCCCGTGCACCCAAGGGTCGTGGTTCGATTCCCGGTCAAGGGCATGCCCCGGGCCTGCAGGTCCCCGCTCCAGTCGGGGCGTGCGGGAGGCAGCCCATCGATGTGGCTCCCTCGCATCCGTGTCTCTCTCCCTCCCCCTCCCCCCTTCCACTCTCTCCGAAAAGCAACTGAAAAAAGCATCCTCGGGTAAGAATTATCAACAACAACAAAAGCCACAATATACTGTGATAAGAGTTATGTGAATACAGCCTGTCTCCCCAAATACCTCGCCCTTCTTCTTGTGATGCTGCGAGATGCTAAAACACCTTAAGATGAGACCTTCCACCGTTTCACTTAAGGGAGGCACTTTCCGGCTTCCCCTCGGCGTGGCCGAATGGCCAGCGTCACTACTCTCGAGCTTCGGGCCACTGCTAAGTCAAACCAGGGTTCCGTGGACACAAGCACCGCGACACCTCGACAGTCCGAATCCGAGATGCCTGCTAAGTGACCGAAAAGACCTTTAACAAAGTTTAGCATCTATTCCTTGGGGGGGTTTTCGAAACACTCAAAATAGGAATTGATGTCTACTTTCTAACATGATAAAGCTGTGTGACTCTCAGTCCCCAAGCCAGCACCTCGCTCAATGGGGAAGCATCAGAGGCTGCCCCACTCAGGTCAGGCACAAAGTCACAAGCACCCACTGTCGCCACCACCACTGATGTTGAGTCCAAGCTAGGGGCCCATCAGACAAGAAAACAACTAGATTTAGGAGCAATCGAACTACCTCTATTTGCAGGTTTCATAACGATCTACCTGGAAACCCCAAAAGAATCTATGATAAGTGCTGGCCCAGCCAATAAAAGTATTTTAGTAAAATAGCAGAATGTAAACTTAACAAAACAGCCATCATGAAAGTCCGACAACACCCTCTAGGGATACGGGGAGGTGGGCCTTGTTTTGCATTGCTGGTGGGAATGCAAAATGGTAGGCCACCTACAAGGAAACCTGGTAATATCTAACAGAAGTGCACACTGATTTACCCTGTGGCCCAGCAATCCCACTTCTAGGCACTGATCCCAAAGAAACACTGACAAAAACTGTTTTATGCAAGCACTCAAAGTAGGAATAGCTGGATTTTTTTTTTTTTTTTTAACATAATAAGAAAAGATAAACCAAGACCAGACACTGTGGCCGACGAAGTGCTATTCGCTTCAGCACTGCTCGTAAATAGCAAAACACTGAAAACCAACCCAAATTTCCAGCAACAGGGGGCGGGCTGAACTATGATTCACCCACAGGAGGGGGCACCGTGCGGCTCTAAGTGGGGAATGGAGGGCATCTCTGTCTGCCACGCGGAGGGTCTCCCAGATCTGGTCTAGCCGAAGGAAGCCCAGTGGAGGGAAGCGGACTGCGCACGGCACCGGAGCGAGGAGGGAAGGGGGCGTGGATGTGCACCTGCGTGGGTGGGTGTGGTTCACCACATATATGTGTCATTGTTTTAATGAAAGAATAAACCAGAAAACTTCCCAAACATGGTTACCAATAGGAGAAAAAGGAAATGGAAGAAATGAGGAAAACAGAAGCTAGACTCCTCGGACTCTAGGCACCCCTCGTTTTATTGTGCTTTGTTTTGTGTTTTGTTTTCAGTTGCAGTTGACACACAATATCGTATCAGTTTCGGGTGTCAGCACNACTCTAGGCACCCCTCGTTTTATTGTGCTTTGTTTTGTGTTTTGTTTTCAGTTGCGGTTGACACACAATATTGTATCAGTTTCGGGTGTCAGCAGAGCGATTAGACATTTATATAACTTAAAAGATGGTCACCCCTTTGGATCAGTCCAGTTAGTACTCCACAGAGGCTGCGTTATTTACAAATGGAAGGCCGGACACTCCACCAGCAAAAAGATCCCAGCTCGTTTTATCATGATATTCGCTTTATTGCGGTGGCTTAGAACCAAAGCGTTATCTCCGAAGTCTGCCTGTGCCTTGTTCTGTGGACTTGACTCTGGGACGGTGCAAATGTTTTACTTAATTATAAAATAGGGGTCATCGCAACAAACCCGGAATCCTCCACAGGACCCTGTTTTGAAGGCCATACACAAACCTCATGGACGTGGGAGTCAACAGAGCTGGCCTGACAGTCTGGACTGGAGGGCAGACTTCCAGGGGAGACCTTACGGCGCCCTGGGCGTAGCGAGAGGAAGAGCGGGCGCGCGTCGGGAGGCCGCAGAACCTCACTTACCTCCACCTTGCTCTCGGGCTCGTGATCGGAGGCCGGGAAATACACAACTTCCTGCACTTCATCCCTGGGCCGAGCCGAGTTTTTCCCAAACACCACCAGACCGTCCTTGGCACGAGGCGGGAAGGCCACCAAGCAGCAGCTGGGAGGAGCTGCAGCCATCCTGAGAAGAGAGCGACGCCACAGGCTGAATGGGAGCGGGCCTAGCTCCCACCCTGAGGCCTTGGGGCCCATTTCACCGGCTGACACAGCCTGAGCATTGAACTGGGACGCGCTCCCAGCTGGCACACGAAGGCGGGCGCCTGGAGTAGAATTACCAGGCTGCGGAGCCCAGATAGTGTTTAGTGCTCCGTGGGATCAAACAAGCTCAGATCTGCAACAAACAGCAGTGCCGGCCAAAAGTGCGATGAGATGACGTCGGAGGAAGGAAAGGAGGTTATTGTTCCAGGCAGCAAACACACGCACACGGCAACCTGTCCCAGCAACAGAAAAAGCCATCCTTATACCTGTTGCGGAGCCCTACGGAGATGCCTCAGACCTAGAGGTACATGGCTGCCATGGAATGGATTTTGGAGTAGTGATGGAAATGGGTCTAGATTTAGATCGAAAGAGACTCCCCCTTTTATATATTATTCCTGCCTCTCAATGACATGACAGTCCAGGGCCTCCTGGTTTCCCTCCCTCCTCTCCAGCTGGCTTGTTCTCTCTACCTGGTCACTGAGCATCCTCGCTGCTTGGTTTCCCATCGCAGTGGCCAGCTCCACCTCCAGCCCACGAGATCATCGAGACCTCAGGAACTATCTTACCATCCGCTTCTCCAGAACCTAACATATCACCAAGTCCTGTAGATTCAATCCCCCAAATCTCCATGGAAACCATCACTTCTCTCCATCTCCACTACCAGCCCCCTGCACCAAGCACCACCATCTCTAGCCTGGACCACTGCAGTAGCCTCCTAATGGATGACTCTGTAACAGCTATTATACCCCCTCCAGAACATTCTTCACATTGTAGCCGAAGTGGTCTTCTTAACGGATAGATTTTACCATATCATTCCTACTTAAAATCCTTTATAGGTTTCCCGCAGCTCTTAGAGTAAAGACCAAAATCTGACCAAGTTCATGCCCCCTCCCCAGCTCATTTCCAGTCACTGCCCCCTCCACTCTCTCAGCTCTAGCACACAGGCCTTCTCCCAGTTCCTCCAGTACTCCCAGGACCTTTGCACAGGCTGTGCCCTCTTTCTTGAGCACTCCTTTCCCTGATCCCTGCACCAGAACCGTCTGCTGAGTTAACTACTGCTCCTTCGCATACAAGCTCAAATGCCACACTCATTTATGTCACCAGAGGATACAAACCATCAGATCTGCAATATCTGTGTAACTATTTTGTTACCAATCATCAATACTTAAGTCTTTTCCTCTCAAAAATCTAAGCCATATGAAGGCAGGGACCATGTGTCTTTTGCACACTGCTGTAAACCCAGCTCTACGCAATGTCTTCTGCAGGACAGGGTAGATTTTCAATAAGTAATGAACAAGTGCTCAGTTCTCCTTTCTTAATAGTCCACCAAACGGAAGCTGACTGTGCAACTTTCTCACCCCCCACCTCTGCACCTGGCGAGAATGAATGCCCTTCTCTTAGTCATAGTGAGTTCCCGTCAAAATCTGATTCAAAGTCCTTTTCTTTCAGAAAATCGTCTGTAAAGTACTCGGTCATTTTCTCGGCATCCGTGGCACTAATGCACCCAGTTTGTTCTAGGATAGGTGCATTCGTTGCTGCTCTTCAAATAAAGCTCCCTGAGGGCAGGACCCATGCCACCTAACTATAGATGCTTTTTCTCCCACCCTGTTACTATAGGCACTCAACATTATCTATTGAGCCAACTATCGTATTTGTGTCATTAATTACCCAACTTAAATGTATTTTACTTTACAAATCCAAAATATAAATGAAAAGTAAAGCACTGTTCTCAGAAAAGTAACTGGGATTCGAAATTCAGCCCCACTACTTATTAGCTGTGTGACCCTGAACAAGTCGCTTTACCCCTCTGAGCCTAGGTTTTCTCTTCTGCAAATGTTTTGCCCCAGCCCATAGGTTTATCATGAGTATCCAATGTAATGATACTTGAGAACCTATTTGGTAAACTCTGGAGGCTACATGAGTATAAGATATTTAATTTGGGTTTTGACTGTTCAAATAGGGCAGCATCTCAAAAGTGCTGTTGGGCAAGCCAATCAAAACAGAACTCATAACTGGAGCAGTTATCAAATTGCAGAGTCAGCTACATTCTATGTCTAGAAACATCTTCATGAGGGACCGTATTGCTATGTCTGCATACAGGCTACTTCAAGTTAGTCTGTATTTGCATGCCCAGGGCTGTCAGAGTTCTTCCCTGCACTGCTCAGGGCAGCCCCTAACTCTGAAAATAATGTGCTCCCAGCTCAGAGAAACAGGCCCTCTCCGCTTTGTGAGAAAGAAAGGGCTGGAAGATACAGAGGCTCCAGTTCTTTCTCCCCTTAACCTTTCCCATGTTCACAAAAACTGCATTGTCTTCAGAGTTTAGGAGGAGAGAGAGAGAAACAAAGCCTCTGTATGTGTAAGAAAGACCTAGAATAATTATAAGATAAAGTGCCTTTAGAGAGGGCTCCTAGAATTTGGGGGTGGGAAGAATTACTGGCTGAGCCAAATAAAGGGAAAGAGACCCAGGATAAAATGAGATGGAGAAAGGACCCAGCTATCTGTGCCTGTATGCCTCTGGTGTGAAATATGACGTCCCTTCCCCCCCGATTGTTGGGCCATTTCTTCTATGAGAAAACCTTACTGTGTTTGATCCTTAAAAAGAGTAGGAACCCACTGGTCTTGCAGTTAAGAGATGCATCTATAGAAAATAAAGGCACGGGGTTTTTGACAAGCACTTCCTCTTCAGCCAGGACATCTGCCTGGTCAGCTTGACCCAGTCATCGGGGCCACTTGACCATGATGAGGACGCAGCAGAAGCCAGGGGTATGTGAGCCAGGGATGCTGATTTTCCACTGAATTCAGGAAATGACTGGGAATGCCAGAAGGGAGCAGGGTTTTAATGTCTATTTTTTTTTTAAATGCAAGATGAACCAGCAACCTGTGTATCACAACCAGCAGCAAACTAGCCAAGGCGACTGTCCATCTAGTCTCCCTGGATCCCCATCCTACACACTGGAGCCGCGGCGATGACTCAGCTGGATCCTGTTCTGCTCCGTAGACCGGTGCTGTGCCAAGAACCTTCCACATGATGGGAATGCTCTGTCCCCACTGCCCAACGTGGTGGCCACTAGCCTCGTGTGGCTACTGAAGTGTGGTTAGTGTGATTAAGAAACTGAATTTTTAATTTTATTACAAATTTTAATTAGTTTACATTTAAATAGTCACACCTGGGTAGTAGGAAGCCTATTGAACAGAAGGACGTTACGACTTCCCAATAACCCCAGAAATGAAGATTTTCATGCTACGGCTTCCCACGATCCCAGGAGTACTTATTTGTGAAGTCTTTCACTTATTCAAACGACAAAATGTGCTCTCATCCATATGAAACTTATTGCATAAATTTTTTTTCATCGTTTATATTTGGCTTCAAGAAACAGAGCGTAACCATTTAAGAATGGATTTTCAATTGTAACTAACTCTACTTAAACCAGCATTAAAATCAATGAACAGAGCTTTCCCAGAAATGAAGCCCTGCTGATGGCTGTGTTTTTAACTTGTTTGTTTTGAGGAATAATTCTGAAGCCACTTGCTGAGCTTGGGGACCCAGAGGTCGGGGTGGGTGTTACACTGTAGGCCTGAAACTGAACCCAGGCGTGTCAAAAACAGTGTTTCCCAAACTGTATGTTGTGGCCTTTTCTTGGGCTATGAAATCAATTGAGTGGACAAGATTTCAATTTAGTAAGATCCGTTTTTTTTAAGAGAATCATTGTTTAGAAAAAATATATGCACTTCACATAGTAAGGATAAGTGTTGGTACAAGAAACTTCAAGTTCAGGCATCAAAATGTAAGTGTGTGCAGGTACTGGGTTGAAATACAGCATTTCTTGCTGTGGGTTTCAGGCAGAACCCTTTAAAAGCAACACGCTTATTCTACTGAATACAGCTTCTTTGTGCTAAATACCCATTAGGATTCTTGCCAGGTTAGCAATAAACTAACAGTCCCAATGAATGAAACACTCCCATTGAACTCCCATAGATGGCTAAACCGACAGCCATTTCCTATGAAGTATTCGTTAAGAATATTTTAAAGCACATTTATCTGTTCTTTGTGCTAAGTGGAATAAGCCAGGCACAAAAATGCAAACACTGTATAATTCCACTTACATGAGGTTCCTAGAGTAGTCAAATCCATAGAGCCAGGAAGGAGAATGGTAGTTACCAGGGGCTGGGAGAGTGGGGGGAAGTGGGGAGATGTTTAATGGGCATGGAATTTCAGTTTTGCAAGACAAAAAAGTTCTGGAGACTGGTGCACGAGAGTGTGAACATACTTAACACAACTAAACTGCACACTTAACAACGGTTAAGGTGGTCGAGTTCACGTAATGTGTATTTTTTAAATTAAACAGCCACATGCAGCTAGAGACTATGGTACTAGAGGGTGCAGCCTCAAATATTGTGTTGTTAGCCACGGTGAAGAATCCTCCAGCTCAATTTCTAACCTTCGTTGTCCTCATCAAGCTCCCTTCAGGATCCAGGACTTCTTGGGAACAAGATATTAGAAGTCCAGGTTCCCTGGGGTTCACAGCACGGAGCTGCGTCTACCAATGTTCGTCCTCTGACTCGTGGCAGGAGGCTGGGGGAGGCCTGCGGTGGAGCAGGCACCCCTGTAGCTAGGAGACCACGTACAGAATGTCTGGCCTGGGAGCGAGGGAGCTGCCTGGGAGAAAAGGTCTTTGTCCTCAAGTTCAGTGAGTAGTCATTGAGGGGTGTGAATGCTCTGAGCCCAGTTAGGGTTTTCTCTGCCTGCCAGCCAAATTGCCCTGCCTTTTATCTCCATATAGCTACAGAGTGTCCCTCCTCCGTCACCTTATCCAGTTATAAGAAAGCCTTGAATCTCTTGAGAAGGAGAAATGACTGTCTTTATAAGCTACAGCCTTATTAACGGTCTTGCAAATCACTATGACAAAGTGCCTTTACTTGTA